AGAAACGGAGCGAGGGGGCATGTACAGGAGCGTCTGGTTTTTGGGATGTAAGGTGTAAGTAAGTATGTAGACGGCGGGAGGTGTAAGTAAGTAGGAGGAGGGTAGGTGTAAGTAGGGGGAGGTGAGACCAGGTGTAGGTAGACAGACGGACAGCGGGAGATGCAAGATATAGGCGGCGCGGGCGCGGGGAGCGCTTACTGCTGCTTGCACTCCTCGGGGTTGACGTTCGCGTTCGCGTTGGCGGCGCGGCCCTTGGGCGGGCCCCGGCGGCGGGCGGGGACGTCGCCGTCACTGTCCGAGTCCTGATTAAAAGGGGGTAAGTCTCGATTCGGGCGGAGGAGGATAAACGGGGAGGACGAGGGTCTGGACATAGAAGCAAGAAGGGAGGAAGAGGAAGGAGGGTAGGATGCTGGATAGATGGGAGCAAGCATTGGGTGAATGAATGGATGTAGTAGGTGGTGATTCTCGGCTCTGGCGAGGAACGAGCGTCGAGAGAGTAAGGAGAGGAGGGGACATGGAAACAGGGAAAGCATTCAGATGCAGAAATGATGACGCCCCGCGAGAACGACCCGGGGGTCAATCTCGACTCGGGCGAGGCAGGGGAGAGGTGACGCGCAAGGACTTGGGAGAGAGAGAAGCGGAGAAGCATTGAAGATACAAGGAGGGGAGAATGAGGGAGGAGGGTATGTAAGGAACGGAGAGGACCCTCGACCCACCGCCAGCACATCACTCCTAGAGGACGTACATCGGTGGTGAGTCGGGGCTCAGGCAGACGGAGGGAGAGACGAGGAGGAAGGAGGGAGGGGAGCATAGGCCACGAAACGGGGAGGGAAGGAAGGAAGAATGCAAGAGAGGACAACGGCCACGCGCCCCTCTGCCCGACGCAGGCCAACGCCCGCAGATAAGAAATCACAAATACTCACATCATCAAACTCCCCCTCGTCCTCCTCGTCCTCGTCGAGCTCGTCAAACTCGTCGTCGTCCTCGTCGTCGCTGTCCATCATCTCGTACTCGAGCGCCTTGCCCGTGAAGTAGTCCACCGCGCGGGGGATGATCTGGGCGTGCGTCAGTTGGGTGAGTCAGGTAGGGGAGGGAAGGGTGAGTCAGGTAGGGGAGGGAAGGGTGAGTCAGGTAGCTGGGAAAGGGAGAGGGGAAGTTTGTGGTGCAAAAGGTGGTGACGTGGTTTGTGGGGTAAGGTAGTTGGGGGAGAGTGGTCAAGGTAGTTGGGGGAGAGTAAGGGGGAGCGCGTGGGTGGGGGTGCGGAAATGGAGGGCAGCGATAAGGAGGGGCATTTCGGTGGGGAGGCGGAGGGCAAAGGTCGGGGCGGGGGAGGTGGAGGCGGGGAAGGCATGGAAAGTCGGGACTGTAGTGAAGGAATGGTGATAGCGGCGAGGCACGCCAACTCTGCGTGTGGAGGAAGGGGAGAGACGCTATCACACGAGCAGTATGGTCCCGCAGACATAGGTGGAGCGGAATAATAGTACGGGGGGGGGACGCAAGGAATGGGAAGGTGGCAGAGTAGCGGTAAATGGTTAAGGTGGGGGGCGGGGAAGTATAGGGAGCGGCACGTCGAGGAACGAGTAGAACAAAAACGCACCTTCTCCTTGAGGTCCTCGCCGACCTGGTAGTCCACCTCGAGCCGCTCCTCGATCTCCTCAAGGTCCTCCGGGTCGATCTCGCCCGACTCGATCTGCGGGGGTTATGTTAGATCACGAAATACGTCAGAACGAAACGAAGGGCGGAAAAAAACCGAAAAAAAGAAAAGTGCCAAAATGGGAGAGGCGAATCGTCGACGCAAGAAGATAAAAAGGGGTGAAGCAAAGCAAACGAAGGAAGAGCTCGACCCGCAGGTGGAGTAAGAGCGATCTACAGCAACGTGGCCCCCGCACCTAATCCCGAAGTAAATCCGGTCCCTTGACATGAAGGAAAAGAAACACACAGGACTCGTCGCAGGGGCTGATTCCCCATAAAAGAAAAAAAAATCGAGAGAAATGAAGGCGTCTCCAAGGGGACCGATCTCGAAGAAATCGTCGAGAACGAAATGAAGACGAAACAATGAAGAAAATGAAAGGGACTCGAGATAAAAGAAAGAGAGAAATATAAAGGAAAAGAGACACGTACCGCGTCGTCGGAGGGCATCACGGGTGGGGAGAAGAAGTTGAAGAAGGACGCGGTGGGATGCGACTTGCGGATGAGGCGAGTGCGGTTAGTGTCTGCGATTTGGTTAGGTATAAAGAAAAGGACAGGGAAAAAAGCACTCACTCTTATTTCTCTGCTTCTTGATCTCCCACTCGCGCGTGAGGTCCTTCTCCTCCTTCCATACGATCTCAGTGCCCACCGCGCGGTCGTACACAAAGTCGCCGCTGTAGCCGACCTCCTCCTGGTAGATGTATGTCTTGCTCAGCGTCGGGTGGTCGAAGAACGGGTTCGCCGCTGCGTTCCAGTGGAACGTGATCGTGAAGCCCGGCTTGCCCGCGAACTCGCCTGTCAGTACATCAGCCGACAGTTTCTAAAAAGAAAAGGCAGGGGGACGCACCCTCAGCGCCCTTGGGCGGGAGGTACGCGAGCGTGACGTCCGTGAGGTGCGCGAGCGCCTCCGCGTCGCGCTCGGTGATGAGCTCCGCGAGCCCGGGGTGGTTGCGCAGCGCGGTGAGCCAGAAGTCGGGAATGCCTTTCGCGGCGGTGGCGGTGGCATCTTCGTCGGCCTCCGTGCTCAGCGGGACGTAGTCCTCGTCGTCTTTGAGCGACTGCGCCTCGCCCGCGGCGACCTCCTCGGGCGTGACGGTGGCCGTGCCAGCAATGATCGCGTGGCGCCGCGCGTAGAGCGGCTTTTGGAGCTCGAGGTACTGTCGGGGTCGGGGGATCAGCACGATGCAAGGAGGGAATTCGAAGAGGCGATAAGGGGGCTTGGGCTTGGGATCGAGCCCATCGGGACCATCGCGGGGCCATGGCAGGCGCACACGCCCTCGCGACCGCCCCCGGCACTACGCCCACCCCACGAGGCACAACAAAGGGGACGAGAAAAAGACCGCCAAAATCGCGAAAATGGGGGAAAAAAGAGAGAACACGGACCTTGCGCTCAAGCTCGAGGCACTCTCTTTTGTACTGGTTCTGGAGGTCGGTCTGCTGGACCTGGACGCCCTTGAGGCCCTCGACACTGCGCTTGACTGCGGGGGGGAGGCTCTCGATGTAGCCGGAGCTGCGACCGACGAGGCCCGCGAGCTTGCCGTGGACCATCCCGAGCATCGCAGACTGCATCCCGCCGGCGCCGAGGGTGGTGAGCTCCTCGGCGACCTCTGGCTCTTCAGAGATGTCGGGGACGGTCGGCCGCGACAGCCCAGCCGAGATGGGCGCGTGGGTCATGGGTGTGTTTTGCGGCGTAGGCGCAGTGATGCCCGACTGGGAGATGGGTACGTTCGAGCTCATGGTCGCAGGCGGTGAAGAGGAAGAGGGCAATTTTTTGGGGGCGGAGAAAGCGGAGTTCCAGCGGGGTTTCAATCGGCCCGATATCCGGTCGAGTCATCAAGTTCAAATTTCTTCTTCAGATGAATTCGCGGGCTTAGGAGGGCAGGGAATCCCAGGTTCCAAACACAAAAAGAAAGGAGAAAAAAAAGAAAAAAAAGAACATCCGTCATCGTATTCGGCCACGGGGAGTAGAACCCTAAACTGCCTTAGACTCATATTCGTTCGAAGATATTCACGGTTGAAGGAGAGAGGCCGTGTTCCCTACACCATGTCCGATTTATTGTGCTCCTATAAAATTGAGTGGGTGGGTGATTTTTGAGTGTGTGAAATAAAAAAGTACACAAGATGGCGCACATACATTCGAACACAGGGAGTCGAACCCCAATCTGCCTCATAACTCCTATATCAGATAATTTAAGGGAAAGAGGCGGTGTACCGTACACCATGTCCGAGTTCTTTCTATACCTGCGAAGTTGAATAAGTGAATGGTTTTTGAGTGGGCAGGGAAAAAGAACAACTTTTCGCTCAATATATTCGGACATGGGGAGTCGAACCCCGGACTGTCTCAGACATGGCTATTCCAAAGAGAGAGATCGTGTACCGTACACCATGTCCGATTTCTTTCTATATCTACGAAATTGAACAAGTGAAGGATTTTTGAGTGGGCAGGGAAAAAGAGCAACTTTTCACAGCACATTCGGACACGGGGAGTCGAACCCCGGACTGCCTCAGACAAGTCGAGCTTGCGAATCAAGGAAAGAGGCGCAGTACCGTACACCATGTTCGATTTCTTGTACTCCTACTAACCTCTGGATGGGTGAGTCATTTTTGAAGCGAGCGAAGAACTTGTAAAAAAACATACTTTCATCCAGCGGATTCGGATACAGGGAGTCGAACCCCGGACTGCCTCTGAAATCAACAAACGGCTAAGGAGAGACGGTGTACCGTGCGCCACGTCCGATTCCTTGGATTCCTACGAACTTGAATGGGTGAGCGATTTTGAGTCGTCGAGGAACAAAAAACGTGGTCAGACCTCTACTATTCGGACACGGGGAGTCGAACCCCGGACGGCCTCAGACACCCATATAGCCTCTGCAGGGATAGAGACGGTGTACCGTACACCACGTCCGAGTCCTTTCTATACCTGCGAAGTTGGGTAACTGGATGATTTTTAAGTGGGTAGGGTAAAAGAATGTGAGAATCTCGGGGAAGTTGAACCCCGGACTGCCTCTATAGCCTCTGCAGGGAGAGAAACGGTGTACCGTAAACCATTTCCGATTCATTATCCTCCGGCTAACTTGAATGGGTGGGTGAGCAAATTTCGAAGTGGGCGGAGAAAAAAAAAGTCCTACCAGAAGCATCCATTCGAACACGGGGAGTTGAACCCCGATCTGCCACATAATAAAGTCGACAGATATGAAAGGGAGGCTGCGTACCGTACACCATGTCCGATTCCCTGTACTCCTACATACTTGGAGGCGTGAATGATTTTTGAGAAGGTGGAAGGGACAAAAAAGTGGACGATGAAATACGTATTCCGACACGGGGAGTCGAACCCCGAGCTGTCTCACATCTTCAGGTATGCCAGATCATAAGAAGAGGCTGTGTTCCCTACACCATGTCCGATTCCTTGTATTCCTGTAAACTTGGATGGGTGAGTGATTTTTGAAGTGTGGGTAGAGGAAAAAAAGTGAGCACCGAATCTCTTTACTCGGATACGGGGAGTCGAACCCCGAACTGCCTCTGAAATCAACAAACGGCTAAGCAGAGAGGCAGTGTACACCATGTCCAAGTTGTTTCTATACCTGAGAAGTGGAATAAGTGAGTGGTTTTTGAGTGGGCAGGGAAAAAGGACGCATTCTATCAGCACATTCGGACACGGGAAGTCGAACCCCGAACTGCCTCTGAAATCAACAAACGGCTAAGCGCTAAGGAGAGAGACGGTGTACCGTACACCATGTACGATTCGTTGGATTCCTACGAACTTGAGTGGGTGAGTGATTTTGAGTCGGTCGAGGAACAAAAAACGTGGTCAGACCTGTACTATTCGGACACGGGGAGTCGAACCCCGGACGGCCTCAGACATCCATATAGCCTCTGCAGAGAGAGAGACGGTGTACCGTACACCACGGAATCCGACTTCTTTCTATACCTGCGAAGTTGGGTAACTGAATGATTTTTGAGCGGGTAGGGAAACAGAATGTGAGAATTTCGGGGAAGTTGAACCCCGAACTGCCTCAGACACCCATATAGCCTCTGCAGGGAGAGAGAGACGGTGTACCGTACATCATATCCGATTTATTTTTATACCTGCAAAGTTGAGTAAGTGGATGATTTTTGAGTGAGTAGGAAAAAGATCTAACGCGAGAAATCACATTCGGACACGGGGAGTCAAACCCCGGACTGCCTCCCATCTTCAGGTATGCCAGATCATAAGAAGAGGCCGTGTTCCCTACACCATGTCCGATTTCCTGTACTCCTACTAACTTGAATGAGTGAGTGAGTTTTGAAGCTGGTGGGGAAAATATATATTTTTAACGAATACTGATTCGGACATTGGAAGCTCGATCTGCCTCAGAAACCCATATAGCCTCTGCAGGGAGAGAGGCGGTGTACCGTACACCACGTCCGAGTTCTTTCTATACCTGAGAAGTTGAATAAGTGAACGGTTTTCGAGTGGGCAGAGAAAAAGAACGCGAGAAATCATATTCGGATACGGGGAGTTGAACCCCGGACTGCCTCACATTTCAGGCATCTCATATCATCAGAAGAGGCCGTGTTCCGTACACCATGTCCGATTCCTTGTACTCCTACAAACTTGGAGGGGTGCGTGAGTTTTGAAGCTGGTGGGGAAAAAGATGTCTGGACTCTTAACTTATATTCGGACACGGGGAGTCGAACCCCGAACTGCCTCGGATACTTAATAGCCCCGCCAGGGAGAGAGGCCGTGTACCGTACACCACGTCCGATTTCTTGTACTCCTACAAACTTGGATGCGTGGGTGATTTTTGAGAAGGTGGAAGGAACAAAAAAGTTGAGGATAAGACACTTATTCGGACACGGGGAGTCGAGCCCCGAACTGCCTCGGATACTTTAATAGCCCCGCCAGGGAGAGAGCCAGTGGATCGTACACCATGTCCGATCCATTGTATCCCTGCGACGGTTCAATGAATTAGCAACTTTTGAAGTGGGCGGAAAAAAAAAAAAAACTTCAGCGACTCATTCGAACACAGGGAGTCGAACCCGGAACTGCCTCATATACCCCGAGATAATCACCCCTAAGTGGAGAGAGGTCGTGTTCCGTACACCATGTCCGAGTCCTTCCTAGTCCCGTGAAACTCAATAAATTAGCTATTTTTGAAGGGGAGGTAAAGAAAATGGGGGTTGAAGGGAACATGGATTCAGAGAGACTGCCTCCCATTACCCGTGTAGGTTCGTCACGGTATTACAGCGGCAAGGCCGATTCGTTGTCTCCGTGCCAGGGTGAGCACATTGCGTCTTTTTGCACGGCGAAAAATCGGATGCGTACCGGCTTTGTCAACTTGCAAGTATTTCAACCATCCTGTATAGGCATCGAGGCAGAAACCTCATACTTCGGACAACTACTCATACTGTCCGAAATCGCTGTCGATTGATTCGAGCTTCGACTTGCCAAATGGGATGCAGGCAGATAGACAGAGATTGTGGTGGGGAAGGTTGTGCATTCATCCCGTAGACAAACTGCGCCTTGCAGTTTGGGTTCAACAAAAGAGCTCGAGGCAGTTGTGGCAGGAGAGAAAGTGAGTGTCCGAAAAGGAAGCCCGTATTGATCCGAAGTTCGGGATCTCCCGTGTTTGCTCAAAACCTGAACAGCGCTACAGCTCAAAGGCTGAATATGGCGTGGCAGACTGTGAAAATAGATATAGCTCTGGCCTTGTTTCAGAATTTATGAAGATTTGAGATTCGATGGAAAGTTAGAAAAAACTATTTTTGCAGTCGCTTTTCCCACCGCGGATTATTGGGTCGGATAATAATGAATTAAAAGCTCAGACAAGCCTGATAATTCATGAATCCGTACCTGTTTGAATTCATCCCGACTTGGATTTTCGACGGAATTTGTGTCAGCAGCTTTCGAAAAGCGAATGAGATTACCTTGCTTGTCAAGGTCTCTCCAAACTCATAATGGCCTCACTTTTTGACCTACCCATTGTTCCGGAATCACTGATCTCGCTTTTACCCGTATCTTTGTAATCAAATCAAATCGTTATCTACGCTTGAAGCCTTGATCTACGAGGCCGACTCTTCGGCCTGAAGCTGCTCCTCTACCATCTGCTCTCTGCTCTGCCCGCATGACTGCATCTCATCCCACCACCTCTCAGTCTGCTCATTCAGAGCCTTCAGTCCATCATCCTCTGCTAACAACATTGGATAATGGCTTTTCATGAATAATTCATCGTCGAAATCCCGAAGCAGATGTATGGTTTCTCGGTCGGAGCGCCGGGAAAGTGCAACAACATACAGGTTGAACAGGCTGAGGCCCCCGGTCGGCGGAGCTGCTATATCCACCAGTATGTATGGGATCGTTTGTCCCTGTGACCTGTATATTTGGTAAATCCATATGCTCCTTTCTTCGCAAATTGACGACGAACCTGTAATCAGTGAACGAATATGCCCCGGTAATCGCGAATTGACATCGTCTAATTGTTCGTTGAATGAACTTTCTATCCGGCAGTCTTGACACAGTAAGTCATTTGCGCTGGCTCTATTGGAATTATGTGCTTATCCAATCCTAATAGCTGAGTCGCCCGTGTACGATCCAGCTTCACGAGAATATATGCTGGCAACTTTTGCAAGCGCACGACGGAGGCTCGACTATTTCCCCCCACGCTCCATTTGTGATATCCAGATCTGCTTCAATATTGCTTGTTACCATCACCTTCATCCCAATGGCGATTTCAATCACGTTTGGCAAATCCTTCATGTTAGTCTGCTTCCGACCCTTCTTTTTTCGTGTGAGATGTGATACTATTGTGTATCTTTCTCCCAGATTTAAAGCCTGTCCTTTGTAAGTGACATCCACCTGGGGGCGACGAACCCAAAGGACATGAAACCTATACAGCTGACATTGAAAATCTTTGTATTTTGGTCCCTGCCCCAAAATCCCTGACGCCGCGCAAACGCAAAATCCAAGAAACAGACCCGGGTAGTCCTGCACAAAAGAGACTGTTTAAACTATGTCGTCCCGCCAATACACAGTTCAATTAATCTGAGCCCACTCAGGATTCCGCAAGTCGATCAACAAGTATTAGTAGCAATGTTTGAAAAAGAGACCCGATGATTAGTTGAGACTGTCGGAGAATTATGTATATATCATAGGCTATTCGCCGAGGAAGCAACATCTTGATTTCGTTCAACATAATCTGTGAACTAGCAAGCAAGGTCTGTGCCGACGTAAGGCGGCGCTTCCTCGTGACATCTATGTACATATTCTGCAGCAGTAAACGAGCAGAATCATTCTCTCTTCTGTCCTCACAAATCCTTCTTCGCCAACCAATCCGGCGTACCCTCAAGGATGTACGTCTCGCTGCTTTGGCTCATACATCCCATTCTACGCGTGTCAATTCCAAGTCGGCTCTGTATACGTTGGAATATACTGATATAAAGGCGCACTTCTCGTAAAATCCAGCCGACCCCACCTGTGCTTCCAACTTCATGAAATGGAATCCTTCCTGCGTGAGAACCCACTGCTCCAATGCGGTTATGAGCTTTGCACCGTTGCCGTTTCCCCTGCACGACGGGAGAAGCGCAAAGCGTGAGAGGACATAGGTGTGTTCGGGGTGCGCGGAGAGCCGTGCGGTGCCCATAAACTTGGCATCGGGGTTCGCAGAGTCGGCAAGGAGGAAATGCAGCGAGACGGCGTCTTCACTGGCAGTATATTGGTTGGTATCGAGGTGAACATATCCTTGTTCCTGAGCGAAGACCTGTCAAGACGCGGAATTTGTTTCAGTGGACTCGTATTTCAATTGGGGATTTGACGCACAGTCCTACGGATCGCGATGCATTCAGCCTTTAACTCTGGGGATATTGTAGGTACGAGGATAGCGTCGGGCATGGTGGTTGGGCTTGAAGTGAGTCAAAGAACAAAGGTCGCGTCTGAAGGGAGTCAAAACTCGCTTAGAATAATAGAGGGTACCGAATGATCAGCGCGACGGACCAGCGAAGCGAAGTTCGAAGTTCTCCGGACTCCGGGTTGGGACCGGGATGCCTCCAGCACCGCGGCACCATGACAGCATTTGAGAAGATTCGTCCGCCCTCCAGTAACGCGCCTGACGATCCCGAAAATGAATAAAATATGTGCGCAGTGCGTCTCGATTATGAAGGAATTCAGTGGCTCCGACGCTTGAGCAAGGAAGCTCAGAGGAGCAGTCCGCCTTGACCGGAGTAGACCTTTTAAGACTTGCTTACTTACGCTAAATGAGCGAACAAGGTGGCATGTCCGAGTTATTAATCTGCGAGCATGCGTGCGGTAAGTGCGCAATCTTTGATGGAATGAACACAAAATTCGTTACGAACTGCGATATTCGACATACGAGTTGGGGTTCATGTTTGTTCGCCGGAGGTACTACTGGGCCTGAGTGTCTTGTATA